TCCTTCCTGAACAGACAAAGTACTGGCAAATGTCCCGCCTGGAATTTTTCAGAATTTAAATCACATCCGTATTTGCAATCATTTAGCAACTAAAAAGAACTATTCAAAAGCTATGGGAATGGAAACCTAAACAGAAAGAAACACATGTATTACCACCAATATTATGTAGGTAGTTTTGTAATCTACATAGTAAAACATGTATTTTCTAATCCATTAATAGGTAGATATTTATTCCAAAAATGTTTCTGAATTTATGTTTAACTAATTGAAATTTAGTGAAATTGTCTGATTACATGTTTTTAGTATTACTAAAATAAAAATAAATTACTTATAAAAGTATCTAATAACCATAAATGAGGTTGAAGGACTAAAAACTCTAGAGAAAAAGAAGTATTTTCTGATTACTATAAGGAGGTTAGCGAGTTGAACAAAAGCTTTACAAAACTTACAAGTATTATTATCACATCATAGACTACATACACTACAAAAATGTATTAGCTGCCCAGCCAGGGACAGTCCACTGCACTTCCCTGTAGAGTGAATTCACATAAAGCCAACAGTCATTTTTAAGTTATTAAAATTTATTAAGTTTATTAAAATATTTTAAGTCATGTATTTTACTTACTGTTTGTGAAGCCAACATGCAGCTGAAAATGGATTCTAAACCAACCAGGCAACAACTAATATTTGGGGAACAAGGAGAAAATGACTTCAAAAGGTAAAAAAAAAAGATCAGTTCTTACCTTGAATTTGTCTAATATTCTTGACAGCGATGGTTTATTGAAGACATTGTAATAGAGCATTCAATCATGATGCTAGTTCAGAACTGGAATTCAGTAATCTCAATTTGACAAGACCAAGATTTCATCAAAGGAAAGTAAAACTCACCAAATGCAAAATCATTTCAAGATGAGACAAATGGTTAGGAGACATCAGAAGAAAAACAAAAATGCCTTACATATTCCAACTCTCTAGGTATCTTAAATATCAAAGAAGTCAACATTATGTTAAAATTTCCAAAATATTTATTCATTTATCAACATAGTTATTTCTCAGAAATACATATGTCAATATTCTATTATAAAAATTCAAAAATCTATGAACAAAAATAGCATAATGCACGGTTGCAAACAATTTTAAAATTACCTGGGTTTTTTTTGTATCTAATTACCTGCGTTTTGTATCTTTATAAATTACTGATGTGACTGTTCATTGTGGATGTGACTGTTCATTGTGGTTCTCAAGCCCTAAGAACATAGGCTCGGTGGGTACACGGAGAGGCCTCGTAGCTATGTGAAAAACTGCTGTTACATTTTTTTTCTGTGTTTCTATGTCCAAAAGCCTACTGGAATTCCTTTAACAATGAGTAGAAATTTCTTTCAGCCAATTTTTTGCATAATTAAGAAGCCAACTGACCATGCCTGATAAATACATTTATGACAAGGGTGATTCCTTCAAGTGTTTAGCAAAATCCAAGGATTTGTGAACAGGCTCACTGATGTGTTGTTGAAGTTGTTTGTTTAGCTCTTCATCTATAAATGAATCCAGTTGTGAGAATGTATCCTGAAAATTACAAGATATTAGTTGCATTACTAAACAAAGCCAGTATGTGTGTTCCATGCATAACTTAAATCAACAGTCCTCTCTCTCCCATGCCCTCAGTCATCTAGACCAGACCTATGGAACTGGCAGCTGACGTGCAGTTAGCCTGCCAGTAAGCATCACTTGGCTAGCAACAAAGCCAATGTGTCAGGCAGTCCTGGTTTTGGTGAGGATCTTTCATTTTGTTGCAAACTGGGCTTAGAAGAATACCTACTACACATAGCCACAGCTTCTAGCTCTGAAGGAGCTTACACACTGCTTCCTGTTCAATACACCTTGTAAGAACAAACTAAGAGTCTCTGATCAAGAGGTGAGTGAAAGCACTCATACTGCCCTGACCCTGCCTCATGGGATCCCTTCTGGCTGCAGCCACACCTGCAGCCCTCCACTCCTTCCCAGTGCTCAGATGAGGAAGGCCAAGCACATGATTTACACTTCCCTGTTGAAGTCTCGATGCTCACACAGTTGAGTACTGCGTACACTCAGGGACCAATGAGATCCTCTCTTCCCTGGTGCACAGGGAAAAAGAGCTACTGAGTGCTACAGAGCATGGCAGCATGGCACACAGAAAAACATGCAGGCCAGACAGGGTAAAATTTAAGATACTGCCAAAATTTGCTAAAATGAGCCAAACAGCTGAGAGTAGGCAAGCCCCCAAGGCAATTTTCCCAGTTATATCCATTATAGCCACCTATGGACAGTTTGTTCTCTCCGTTATCTTCCTATTCCTTTGTTTCTGCTACCTTAAAGAGCTTGTGCACTTCCTTATTCAAGCACTACACAATCTCCTATCTGCTGTTCCCAGCCTTGTTCTGTCAGAGCTGCTGATGTAACACCCTAGCAGGACAGACATGTCAAGAAGTCATTTTCAAAAGGACACAGTAAGTACAAATACATTTTCAGAAGTTGCTTCTCTAAAATGAGAAAAATAAATAAAATTGTGCTCTCGAGGCTTTAACTGACATTACTGAGTTACAAACTGGAGGCACTAACAAGGTTAATAGGTTATAATGTTTTCAACAGGAAGAAAGAGAATTAATGACTGCTTTTTAAAGGACACATCACTCACTGGACATTTAATGGAGGTTGGCATCTGGAACACATCCAGTGCTGAGGATCTAAGAAGCATTCACCCATTTCTCCTCTTTACACATTAGCTCTTTGTTCCCTTCAAATTTACACTTTAAAGCTATAAACTGACACTACTGATTCAAAGACTCTGGAAATCCAGCTGTCCTGCCAACTACTCACACAGGGGAAAGAGCTGGCTTTTTATTACTGTTTTTTGAACAAACATTAGTGCATCATTACAGAAAAGGGACAAGAAATCTGCACTGAACCACTGCAAAGTACAAAAGATACATAAAATAATAGCTACCACATTCATCTTGCTACATTAACCGATGCTAGAGGAGGTGGAACTATTCATACAGCTTTTCTTCTTTCTAGTCAGTGCTATCTTACATCAGTTTAAAAAAAAACTTGACAGAGAAAGTACAGTAATCTGAAAGCCAAAGTAAGTGTGCTAATGCCTGGGCACTGCATAGTGAGCCAGCAGATACAGGGTATATTGCTATATCATGTGGTTAAAGAAGGATGTAGAGAGGTGAGATGGTACCTTTTTTCTGGGTGTTACTGATGCAACAGGAGGATTAAAGGTCATTCCTCTCATACTGTATGCCTCAAAAAGTTCTGCAGCAGGCCTATAGCAAAACCCACAGTGAAAGAAAGATAGCATTAGATATATTTCTAAATAATGTATCACAAAATGCAGAGCAGTTCCCCCCCCCCCCCCCAGTTATTTGCAGTAGTAAGAATGAGCTGCCTGTGAAGAACTGCAGATAGACTGTATGAGATGGTCAGTAAAATGGCAAATGAAATGTAGTGGGGAAAAAAACCCCACAACAAACAAAGAAAAGCAATCTCGGTTTCACATAAAGACAATAGGCTCTGAGCTGACCATTGTCACTTAAGGAAAAAAAACATCTTGTAATGACAGACACTTTGATGGGATTGTGACCTTAATGCTGTTTGAAGTTGAAAAGAAACGGAGAACAGAATAGAAAAACAGTTACACCAGTGTATAAATCCACAGATCACCCACATCTCAAATATTGCATCTGAGCCTCCAATTTCCTCATCTTGAAATACTTGAATTGGCAAAAGTTCAGGAAAAGGCAACAAAGATGATGAAAATTATGGAACAGCTACTCTCTGGGCCGGATCCCTTCAGCCAGAAGGGACGGTGGATAGAGGGACAATATGACAGAGGTCTACCAAATGTGAGGCACAGAAAGAGTATATTAGAGCAGGCTGTTCGTCCCGCCTCCCAGGGTAAGAACCGGGGACTGTTAAATGATGCATGCTGGCACCAGGCCACCAGGGTCAAAACAAAAGTAGGTAGATCTTAATGTGGACTCAGGGAACCCTTACCAAACAATGCTGTATTTGCAAAATCTGTGCTTTGGTGCAAGGACCACTGAACAGTTTTGAAAAAAATTCTATGAAGAGGTACTAAACAGAGAATGGCATCAAGTTCAGGAAATCCACAAGGTGAAACCAGTCGGTGGAAACCAGACACTGTCTCAGACCATGTGCCTCACACACTTGCCCTGTTTTTACTCTTCCTGAGGCACCTGTTTCCAGCCACTGCTGAAGACAGGATGCTGACTTAGATCCTTAGTCTGAACCTGGATGGCTGTTCTTATTGTTTATGGACCTCTTGCTGCAACTTGGTCTCCAGTTTAAACTGGACAGTCACGGTCCAGTGATCCTGATCTATATTCAGATCAGGGCTGCTACTGAGGAAATGCAGATATTTTGCTCCCATGGAAAGAAAGCACACTGCACTTTTGAGATTTTTATCCTTGTTACAGCCTGGCAACAAGCCTCAAAAGAAAGTAAGTTAAAAAAAAAAAAAAAAAGGCGGCAGCCAACATTCTGTACTGGCAGAAGTACAAAGACAGTCAGATTGAAGAACAGAATCTTAATTTTATGGATAATTATTTTTAGGGATTCCTTAAATAAAGTATGAGCAACAGCTACTTTTCAGGGCACTATTTTTAAAAACAGAACTCATTGATAACTCACCTTTGGCTCAAATCAAGTGAAAGAGCTCCTGAGCCTTCAGTTGGAGCTCCAACAATAAGGTGAGCTGCAAATTTCTGCACTGTTGGATGATAGTGTCTCTGAAAGAAAGGAAGAAAGGCAGTTGGCTGAGGGACAAGGGATAATGTATTTATATATGGATTCTTGCATTTATTTCCACTTCAATAAGATGGAAGGTTCTGTTTTTGTTTTAGATAGAGAAACTGAGCACCCCAAAAATCAGTCAGTTTCTGGGGTTAAGTGAATGAGGACACCCAGTCATACATTTATTCACTAGCATGTCATGCTGTGAGCATAACTGTCCATAGTTTATCTAACTCCTACTCCCAGAAGGCAGGAAAAACAGCGGAGGAAGCCATCCCCAAGCCCCAGACTCCAACCCCTGGCTAGAATGACAGATGAAGGTGTCATTTGCTCCCTGGAGAAGGGCTGGACTGCAAGGGAACTAACAGATTGAAAAAGCCTCCAAAGGCGTCTTACTAGGCAACGTGCAATAAGATCCAGTGCGGTACTGTCATAGGGGATGTGTAATATCCCCTTTTGAGCTCATTCTTTCCCT